ACACTAGAGATCAGGGCACTTCGTTGTTGGGGGAATCCCCAACAAGGGGGAATCCCCAACAAGGGGGTCGCCGCGAGAGGGGAGGGGGTCGTATTTGCGACAAAAGAAATTTTCTATAGTTGAGATTTCTTGTTTCAGGGACGTTTTAAAGGGGAGGGGGGAGGTTGTATTTCCCGTCTAACCTTATGAGAGAGCTTGCTGACTTTTCGTGGTTTTTCCTGTTTCAAGTGTAGTATACCTCCCTAACCGCCCGACAGCAAGTTTTTCGGGTAACAGTGAGAAAATCTTCAGTAAATTGGGGAATTCCGGAAAAAGTGGTACAAAATTGGGGAAATTCAGGAACTGGTAAAAAGGGGATTGTATAGGTTGGAAGGAAAGTAGTGTCAAGTGTTTTTTGGATAGCCTACAGTTTTTGATCTTCGAAGCTCGAACATGACGTAACATGCTAAGGTTGTAGAACATTCTCGAAGCTTTTCCACAAGAGGTATATCAAGGCTCCTGCTCTTCCCTGTGTTTATTTACGATGTCAGTTTCACTAGCAGCTTCGAGTGATCATCTTCTATGAGTGGCGCCGCGGCACTGGAGCGACGGCAGCTGTCCGTAACATCAACTGTGCATTGGGGGAGGACACCACCACCGTCAGGACTGTCCACCGTTGGTTCGCTCGCTTCGCGAAAGGAGAGACGATCTTCGAAGACAAACCTCGGTCGGGACGCCCTCACGGCGTGGAGGACTCCGCCGTTCTCGAATCTGTCAGAGAGGATCCGGAGGCTACCACCCGCAGTATTGCGACAAGACTCGGGTGTAGCCATTCAACAGCTCTCAGCCGCCTTCAGGCCCTTGGCTACAGAAAAGTCCTCACGCGATGGATACCTCATGCTCTAACAGATGGCACGCGGTATGCCAGGGTGAGCATCTGTCGATCCCTCCTTCTACACCGTAACCGGAAGGAGTTTCTGGAGGATATTGTGACTGGAGATGAGAGCTGGGTGCTCTATGATTCTAACCTACGCCGTGCCATGTGGCTACCTCGAGGAGAAGACCCGCCCACGCAAGCCAAATCGGACCTGCACCCCAAGAAGGTCCTCCTCTGCTGCTTTTGGGATTCGAAGGGCATGCTGCACCACGAGCTGCTTCCCGCAAGGGCAAACGGTCACCGCTACCGTTTACACCGCCCAACTCCAGAAACTCGCGCAAGCTCTTCGAGAAAAGCGGCCGAGACGAGCTTCGGTGCACCTCCTCCATGATAACGCCAGACCACATGTGGCTAAAGAGACCCACCGACAAATTGAGGAGCTAGGCTGGGAGACCATTCCCCATCCACCATATTCTCCAGACTAGCCCCCTCCGACTATTACCTGTTCCGCTCCCTCAAGGCTTTCTTAGGTAAGAAAACCTTCAGCGAATTTGATGGCATCAAGTCGAGAAGTTGCCTACTTCTTCGACTCGCAGCCTCCTCAGTTCTGGGAGAAGAGGATAGCTGGCCCATTAGGTGGAGCACTGTAGTGGCTAACAATGGCGATTATATTATTGATTAGTTTTTATTTCATGTTGAGTTAGAAAATAAAAAAGAAAAAAATCACAACAGTGACAGGACTTTCCTTCCGGCCTATATTTTCCTCGCAGAACCAGTGGGGTCTTACCCTATAAAGGAAGGGTGTCGTACGGACTCGAAAATCCCCAAGAGTGATTATTTGCCCTGATAGAGATCCGAAACTTCTATTATTGATTCGGTTTCTTTGTCGCGTCTGGAATGGTGACCTGAGCAGTATGGAGTCCTAACCAACTCTCCAGTCTTCCAACACATATAAATTAGAATCTTAATATTACGGAACTTATCCATCCTTTCAGAACTGCTGAAATGTTGTCCACAAATAGTTTAAGTGGGTAACTTCACAGGGCTTTTCTCGGAATGACTCAACATAGACCATTATTTTCATTTCTAATGATTTTTCTTCATGAACCTTTCTTAGAACGCCCTGTACCCTCACCCTTCGAGGATCGTCTTTGCCATGTGCGAGATGAATGGGTCCGCAGCTGCAGCGGCGTGACACTTTCGGGGAACGGTTAGGACT